TTTTCAAATGGAACCAACCATATTGGTACCATTTATTAATACTATTAATAAGGAATTTATTCATGTCGTATTAATATGTGAGATAAATACAAACAAAATTACAGCTAAAAGAAAATAAGAAAATACAATTTTGTACTAATTAAATGTTAAGAAGTAACTAACTAAGGTGGCTTTGAAAATAATGAAATATTTAGCTTGTCAAACATTTGTTGGTTTACCGGTGTTTTTTATTGTGTCTTTAAAAATTGTTTAAAATTCTTGTTAATTGCTTTCAAAATAAACACAATAATTGATTTATCATTAAGATAATAAAACAAACTAAGATTACTCTGAGAAGAAACTGGTTTGAAGCAATTATGTTTTGGAAATAATTGTTATTTCAAATGCTGGACTTATAAAATAAATTGAACTCTGGTTCAAAATGGTTTTAAAAGAAACATTAATACTTACTAGTTATAGTATACAGGGTGTATCAAAGTGAAAGAAAAACCCAATTCAGTCTTATTACAATAGAAAGTTATTAACGGAAAAATCACTTCTTTACAATACCCACATATAATTAATATTCTTTTTTAACACGCTTTTATTAGCTTCACTTGTATGTTTGTTTGTTTGTCTGTAACCGACTCTTTGGACTCGATTTTGACCCACTTTAAACGGACAGATTTAATTGAAACTTTGTACACTTACGAAGAACCGGTAACAATATAATAATTTGATAAGTTTATATCATTATCTTGATCAGGTTCACCAGAATTAAATAATTTCCTTTTCTCACGTATCCTCTGCGTGATAGCAAGTGGCTTATTACTGTTAGTACATTCCGTGATTCTCAGTTCGTTCGATGGCCGAGCGGGCTAAGGCACAAGTCTTAGTCGACGCGAAACGACGGACTCCTCGGGCGTGAGTTCAAATCTCGTCTATGGCTGAAAAAAAATATTTTTTTTTTCAGAAATATCTGTTGGATCGTAATATGTTATAATATCAGCATCAATAAGCAATATAAATATAGTTTAAAAAACTAAAAAACACGCTTTCATAGCACATCAAATTAAAAAGTGAAAAATAACTATAGTTTAAAAAAATTAAAAAACACGCTTTTAAAGCACATCAAACTAAAAAGTGAAAAATAATTATTAATATAAACTGAAAACAATAATGAACGAAAAATACTAGTATTATTGTGAAAAAAGCGTGGGGCGCTTTGTGCCATATTTTTCGTATATCGAGCAACCCACGCTTTTTTCACAATAATACTAGTATTTTTCGTTCATTATTGTTTTCAGTTTATATTAATAATTATTTTTCACTTTTTAGTTTGATGTGCTTTAAAAGCGTGTTTTTTAGTTTTTTTTTAAACTATATTTATTACTGTATTGTATTCTGTTGTTTCATTATGAAAGTTTCTTTTTTTTTTTTTAAGTTGTGCATCTGTTTGATTGTTACTGGATGACCTCTTTGAGGAACTACATCTCCTTTTGGTTACACAAAAGTATGTAATGAGATGTCCCTATACACTCATAATTATGACATTTTATATATAAACCTAGGTCTGATTTTACGCAACAAACGCCCCATATAAATTAGTCGAATCACAAATACAGAAGCGGAAGAGGGGGTTTTATTTTGAAAACACAACCATTTCCATTCGATATTGCTATCTATTGCAGCTGTGAATCGTACTGAGCAAAATACTAGGCAGTGTGCCTGCCAGATTTGAACTTCATTCTCTTTTGAGTTTTTTTATATTTTATCGAAGTGTGACGGATCATAAATTATGAAAATTATTTAAAAAGCAATGATATGAATCTATTTCCGCTATTGTAATATTGTATTGTAATATTTTGTCCCTAAGCGGTTCAATAAAACTGCAACCAGCTTAAAAATTGCCAATAACATTTACATTTTTCATCATGTGGGATGGAATTACAAATATAAAGCAGAAAATTACTTGTATCTGCTTCTGCATCTGGATGTTTAAGTATTTATACTATAATTCTATCATAAAACAGAAAGCATGTACTACATCCGTCTAATGCACATATAATATTAAAAGCTTTTCAAATTTAGAAAATGTTGAATAAGGGATCAAATTCATATATCGGGGTGATTTGTAAAACAAACAGTGTAGAATAGAAAATGATGGAATTACGACCCCAGATGAGATATCTGACTGTTCGTACAACAGCGCTGGGAGCGCACCAGGTGTGGAAAAGCAGAGTTAATACAAAACCACAACATCATACGCGAAGTTTACTTTTATAATCTGATTTGGAAGGATTATTTGAATATTTATATACATAAAATGTGAATAGAGTGCCGCCTGATGCATTAGCAACTTTTCAAACTGACTTTCTAATGGAAATGTGCAGACAACTCATACAACACCGACACCGCAGAATCGCAAGTAGATTTTCAACGAAGTTGCTGCTGATAATGCATTAAACTATTATAAGATTTATTATCTTATGTTTTTATTATATAGTATATTTATTCTAAACCATGCAAAATTGTACCAGGTGCATGTAAAATAATGCAGGGAAATATAATTCAAATTACTAATAAAAAATAAATTCTGCGTGACTCTGAGATATGCTTGTGTTCAAAAAGTAGAAGTTTTCATGAGGAATTATTTGCCATACCTCAAACTGTTAACAAAGACTAGTAGGTTATGTATTTAAAGATAGAGTTCTGAATTTTTAGTCAGAGGTGTACCACAAGTTTTTTGTAAGGTTTTCAAGTCCGGCATTGCATATCACACCTGCATTATACAGCAATATTACTTGCTTTGCGTAAATATTAAATAATATTGTATTGCTTATAATGTTGTGAATGTGTGCTAATTTAGCCACAAGTTTCTGCAATAAAATTATTTACACAAGAAGCATAGTGAGATACATATTGTGTTTGATACTTACAAGTATGATTCTGTAAAAAATGTGACTCGTGAAAACCGAAATGCAAGTCAAGGGCGCTATCACATCACACCTACAATGAAATTAAGAAAATTCCAATGAGAAAACTTTTATCCTGAGTATAGGAAAGCCTAGAAGAACTCAAGGTCCTGGCAGAACGAAATACAGTCAAACTGAGTTGGGCGCTAGGACAGAGTAGGGTACTAGGTACAAAGCTGACAAACTTGCCAAACAAGGATCAGCTACAGCATTCATTGGCCTAGAACCAGTACTTGCAGTGCAAAGTGCACTGCAAGTACTGGTAATAGATACTGGCGAAACATACCAGAACAAGGATATGGCAAAGCATTCATAACCGAACCGTGCATAAAAAAAGCTCAGCAACTGCTTGCGCTAGGCAGGAATCTGCTGATAATTGTAATAGGGTTACTCACAGGTCATGCACCTGTGAAGAAACACCTACAAAATGGGACTATATGAAGATGACCTGGGATGCAGGCTCTGTAGAGATGCGCCGGAAACAGTGTATCAATGCGAGGTGCTGGACTACAAAAGACAAAACATATTTGGGGAAACAAATCGAGAATACGCACACAGACCGATCATAGAACTGTTTTAGCTAATCAGCAAGACAGGAATCACTGTAAGGTTATAGATAACCAGTGAAGGATACAGTAAGTAACCTTGGCTGCAGTGTCACCATAATTGTATCAGACAGACGGAACTGGAAAAATATAAAAAAAATAGTTAGAGGATTTGATGGATACGAGGCTAAAAAATATTTTATGTGTTTGTGTATAAAATATCATTACTAAGTTACTGCTTTTCTAAATCATTTGACGTATCTATATGATTGTTTTAATTATACTTAATATGTTTTCTAATATTAATGTTTTTTATTTTAGTTCATCAGTGCATTTGAATACACTAATATTTTCATTATTATTATTCGTTTTAAAATATTCTCGATGCAAAAAAAAAGTGTTTGGGTGGTGTCACAGCCATACCATTTTCATGTAAAAAACATATTTTTAATTCCGGTTAATCCTCGTTTAGGTTTTTTTATAAAGTCATCAGAATTCAAATCGAATATTGGGCTAAATCAAAAAACGATAGTTTGTATTATTTTATAAACATAATGGATTTTTCGGGAAATTTAAGTATAATAAAATGGCTTGTAATAGTCTTGAAAATAGACATTCAACTTGAATAAAAAATCTTATACAAATGTAATAGATAGCTTTAGTTGTGACGTCATACAATTAATAATAATTTAATAATTGTGCACCTATGTGAAAGAGTCATGACACACTGGTTATTTATATATAACACTGGAACTTGATCGATATGTTCATGAACGTAAAGATGACATTTTTGACAGTTAGAAGAAGCACATCATTTTTTTCTCCTTTGAAAGAATTACTTAACACTTTTATTTATCATCCACCACGCACAAAATAGGTATGTCCAATGTACACAATACGGTGCACTATAGAATTTTTTTTGATAATAATAAAAATAAAGATAGAAATATAGCTTACAGTAATTTTATTTTTATTATTATCAACAAAATTTCTATGGTGCACTATGTAAACATTCTAAAATATCAAAACTTAAATATTTCTTTCAAGGGCGAAAAAAGATAAAATTCTGTGCTGTTTCTGTCAAAAATGTCGCCTTTATTTTCATGAGCATAAGAGTCAAATTTTAGTGCTACATATGTGTCCTAATACTTCTTCGTAGGTTGCATATGCGACGTCGTACTAATATGGTCCATGGTGGCACTGAAAGTTTATTTTCAAATAAATTCGACCGACTTGATCAGTATAGTAATACCCTAAATCACTCTATCTTTTCAGCTCAGGCCTAATATAACGTGATTTGTTAGGGTAAGACTAAAATGGGGCCAATTATTTTCAGGATACATGGCAATTTAACAGTTAATTTAGTAATAAATTTTCCTGTATCACTGAAGGTACCTCAAGGCACCTTGTGCGAGAGAGAGAGAGCTACACATTTGGAGACAATGGACACACACCCAATATCCGAGTATGCTAGGCTTAATTTCTGGTTTAAAAAAATCCTAGATCCTCGACCAGGAATCGAACCCGGGAATCTAGGGCGAGAGACAAGTATTCTTACCGCTCGACCACGAAGCCACAGTAAATGATTAAATCGGGTAAACACGAAAGTGTATGTGACAATCCTGATAAAATTGTCCCGAACGGGTAATCTCGAACAAGATCAAGCGGTAAATAATTTTCCACGGTTTAAAACGTCGTAACATTGTCTTAGTTTTCCACAAAACACCGTAAGATGATTAAATTTAATCATCTCCAGATGATGCCAACTTGGTTGGCGAAACGCGGATCGAGTGCAGTGTATAGTGTTTTGGTGTTTCGTGGAAAAGTACTTCAGTGTTAGCATCATATCACAGATTCCAACTCACTCCAAGATTAAGACTTCGTGATTATCCGAACGGTTGACTTTCCTGGGTGTGAGGCGGGGGCACCGGCACAGTTTTAACTGTACGTGCTATTTTTTTTCTGTTTTGTGTGATTAGCTGTGCCGAATATTTTTATTATGGATACTCGACACCATACTGATTACATAGAAGACAAATCAGATCTAAAGACGGAACAGAAAAAAACGAGAGGGGAAGGTTCGTGAAACCGGTCGGGTAATAACGTACGGTTAAAATTTTTATGAATCTCGAAAATGTTATGGGCCGCTTACTACTATGCACTTTTAATTTATTCCGTCAGAATGACCCGACATAGTTTGACCTAATAAAGCCAACCAGGCAGACTAGCCGCTCCTGATTAAGATCCCTAAGGGAGTCCCGATTAGGTATGATAAAACCAGGCTCGACTCCACATCTACATTTTGGCTCAGCTAGATTTTTTGTTAAAAAAACTCGGCCTGAACGGGCTTGTCCAAATTGTCAACTTTACACAACAAAGCGTTTAGCATGCCAGTATCAATTAACATTGTAAATATAATATTTCATTATACTTAGTATTTCCGTTTACACACAGCAAACATTAAACCAAATGGCGTCCTAGAAATATCCGCTCACTTGTCTTTTTTGTTACATAGTAAATAGGTATTTACTAAAATGCAAAAAGTGTCTTGATATCAATAAAACCTTTTAAAACTAATAACACTATAGAAGTTTTGTAATGAACCTACACAACCGTAACACTACAGACCAAATGTGATCAAATAAATCCATTTGGTATTCAAAAAAGATGTATGTACCGTAAAGTTGCTTAGGCAAATAAATAAGTTGTAATAAAATATAAAATGTTTAACTGGTAATAGTCAATTAGGAAAATGTATGAATACGAATATAAATAGAATTCGATGACGACTCGATGCTAGAGATTTCTATTCACACGGTATTTATCCGGTAGCCAATTAGCTGTAGTCAATCCTCCAATTAAGGAATTCCAGTTCGAGTCGCATAAAGGCATAATATCCACGTCTATCATACATATTGTATCTGTTGTGACAGTACTATAATGGATATCAAAATATGCAAGTCAACATGGAACTACTGAAGAGTGTATTGTTTGTATTTAGAAGTGTAAAGTATATTGTTTATCATTAAGACCGGGAAATATTCCTAAATAAATAAGCGTGAGAAGACAATAGCCAGACCATAGACAATATGTTTAATGAGATACCAACGATATTTACATTATGTATGTTTGGAGAGTTAAATAAATTGATTTAAAGTAAAGTTGTTGACTTGTGTAAAAAATAGATTAAGGCCTTCGTTTGTACTCATGCAAAGTAAATATGGCATGTTACCAGATAAAAAGCGAAACTACCAGCAAGATACACTTATAAAGTTGGTGTCAAGTTTCTTTGGATATTATAGACATATACACAATACGTATATGGGACAGATTGCTATTATAAATATTAAGACAGACTAACTATAATTTAAACAAAAACTAATAGTTTAATGTACAATAAAGATGTTAGTTACCACTTTAAAAGCCTAAGGGATTATGATGTTAAATATTATGAGTACCTTGTATTCCACAAAGTACTCATAAGACTTGGACACAACAACATTCAATGTAAACCCTGAACCACAGTTGACAACGTTTTCCGTTCACAAACAATAGTGGATTCTAATTGAACTAAGGTCGGTTCAAATTATATGGCACGACACGACAGGACACAGTCAATACAATTTGAATGGAAGGTGATAATATGATGTGAAAACCCGGCGTGTTTTAAAAAATTGACTGACGTCGTTGAGGGACATGGTGTAACTTACAAAGACTTACTTTACTATATCATGTACATTAACAGTGGTTTATTGTCAGTGTACACTTGCATAATTAATAAATCTTCTATAGTATTCTCTGCTAAACTTCTATGCAAGGATGTAAATATTAAGGCGTATTTTGAAAATGAACATTTTAGATCCAAAGACGTAATATTTGCATATGCATAATATCGTTCTGTCACTTGCACGTCCATCACTTAGGAACTTATTAATATTACGCAATCTGTTAGTATTCGGATTTTTACTTACAAGATCAGGGTCTGAATCATTAGGTTATCTGTTAACCCACTGACGTATTTCACACACGCTTAACATGAGAATTAAGTCATAGATAAATTTCCTCTATGGATATTTTGGGATATGATTTTGTTTATGGCTTGCACTTGCAACATGTTATCTGTAGTTATATGTACAAACGCGGCAGAATGTAACCGCTTCGGTATATTTTAGGTTCGGAAATTGGAAAATAAATTTGTATATCTGGGGAACGGATGGTAAAGGACTTTTGACATTGTATACGCTTGCGAAAATATTACAATCTCCGTCTGCACGTACGTATCTCAATAGCGTCTGTGTTTGACTGGTCGATGGAAACCTGTTGATATGTCCAGTTCTCGGCGCATGTCGTACATCCGCTCTCTATCACCGCGCGGTAGATTGCATTCAAATGGCTTTAATGACGTTACATTATGGAATGGATTAATTTGTCACTGCTAGCCTGTGTCTTGTCATATCACGTCGTATATATTGAATTGATATTTATTCTGGTTGTAGTTTGCAGAGTATAGAGGATATGCTACAAGTAACTAAATATTACCACATAGGAATCCCTTAGTGATAGGGCAGCTTTAGTATAGAGATCTTCACTGAGCTGCCTATTTTAAACAACGGATCTATGACTAATGATATAAAGTTTGAGTTAATTTTTTCACTATTTTACAACTGGCTAACCAATTTTGTTTTAATGGACAGTAATATTTTCATCACCAATCAAGAGTCGTGATTGTTTTGTCAAATAATCCAATATTAGATTCGCTCGCAAAATAGCTAAACTAAAATCCTACAGAAATGCCAATTAAAAGGATAAGAATTAATAAATGGAGGAATTTACACCAACAGTGATACGGTAGGATGTTTGAAAAATGACGGGCCATATTATGTAGAATGCCGACGGTGTGACGCATGACGGTGAGAATGCCATGGAATAATTTATGCAATGCATTTGATCGTTGGTCCAACTGTAAAAGCACTTTGTACCGAAATGCCATCTAGTTAAAATAGTTGAAACTGTAAGGCACTCAAACCTTTCAACTTCAAACAAACTTTAAATATTTTTATAACCAAATTTAGAAAACATTCAAGTTGTTCTTATGTATTTTTTGTAAATTTGGTATCTCTAGAGCTACGTCATAACAAGTCTAATTGAGACGCTGCGACTTCAAGTCGAATTAGTCTGCAAGCAAATTACTCGTACGCAGGTAGTAGTCGTTTAAATTTCTTGTGGAATTACGGATTTTTTTATTGATTTCTGAAGGTGATATGTCAAAAAAAAGGGAGAAAATTGATATATACTAGAGAATAGGATGATAGTTAATACGCGAATATCAGAAGCATCCGGCAATGAACAAGGTAAATAATAAATTAATGCATTAGAGATTTTTGTAATATTTTTATTATGTGATAGTCAGGAAGAAGAAACTGGATCAAATTACATGACCGGTAGCTACTACTACCTCATATGGTTGGAAGAAGAACATACGTAGACAAATAAAAGCAAAAGTATAAAATGAATAATGAAATGTATTATTCAGAATGACCTAAGTCCGCCATCGCATTAGCGTATATGGTCACAACTAATATTCGTTTTGCATTCGTGGCTGTTAAGTTTGAGCTATTTGGTCTGTACATATGTGTACCTTAGATGCAAAACTCGGTTTCTGAAAAACATTTAAAAATCCCGTTTTTGTGTTATTCAGATATAAGAATGCATTGTTTACAAGACTATTTAGCCAATACGTTAGTTAGTATTTTTCATGGTAAAGTAGGTGTTAAAATTTAATTCAGATGCAAAACTTGGTATTTGTTTGCATCGATTAGATGCATAACTGGGTATTTACTATTAATGGTGCAGTTTTATGTACCACGTGGGTCAGCACATGTTTGCTGTCGGAACTGCTGCCAATGTTTACTGAATTTAGAATTAACAAGAACTTGATAAATTTGAATTGAATGAATTTGAATGTGTTTTCAATAAATAAAATGATTTTAAATAACTTACTAAAAATGTCCGAATAGGATGAAACTAGTTGTAAAGTTTAAAATAAAAATAAAAGTGAATATTAGACAAGAAAAAAACAGTATTTTGTAATTATTTAATTTTAAATAACTTGTAAATAATCTTTTCTCTTACAGCTCTAGGAATTTTACAACTTCCTAAATTACGTGGTTTTTAAAACTAAATGTAGTTATTTTCCAAATGTATTACAAAGTACCAAAAGTGTATTGCAACATATTTTTGGGCATATTGTTACATTTTTTTGTTTAATAATCAAATAATTAATCAAAGTTGTTTTACTGTTTTACCGGTATTTGCACATTTTATTTACCAAACTTAGTCTTTGAAGAAGGCAGATGCAAAACTAGGTTTCTGAATCCTTTAACTGTAATTAATTCTCAATATTATGTGATTTTCAGCAAAAATTCAGTCTTCTAATCGTAAATGTCCAGTGCCGGATTAGCCATATAGCAAAAGTAGCAAATGCTATGGGCCTCGTGTTTCTGGAGGCCCTCGCCTAGAATAGAAAATTATTAGCTTGTAAAATTTCGTTTTAAATATTTTTTTTTTCAGATCTA